TAAAAACAGCATTTTAATAACAGCTAAAGGTGACATAGATACTTTATTATGTTATAGTATTTAAATGTATGCCTGAGAAACACATAATATTGCCCCTTTAAATAATAAATGTAACCTGTACAACAGCTCCTAAATAGATCTATTTGTAGWTAGAAATGCACTGAAGTGACCGGGCTCACACGTCTTGCGATATAAACGCAAAGGTTTAAATGGAAACACCATTGGAATTGAACAAATTTAYCGGATGACGTTAATACAGACCGGCCGTATTAGCTCTGAACTGATTCRTTACAAAATGGTCTTTTAGATAATTTCAAARGCTATCTGMAGCAGGTAAGATATTAACTGTTCATAACTTTTCTGTGGTACTTCAAAGAAGCTTAGTTGTCCTTTAAAATTCTAGGAAGATGAACTAAAACATTGCTTATCTTCAATTTTGAATGGGAGAAGCATGACAACACATTTAAATATAAAACACGTAAAAAAAACCTAGTCTAAAACCCGTAAAATGAGCTGAACGATGTGCTACGTCCTCCGAACAATCTACCGTGGTTGTGTTGAATGWATAGTATATGTAAGAAAAGTCAAAACTGTCATTTCATTTCCCTTTTTTTACACACACACACAAAWCATATTTAACACAAAAGACACATTACCTTCTTCCTGCAACCTTAAGTAACGCTGAGTACAACACACCCTTAGCCCTTCCTTGAATTTCATCTCCAATTTAAGTGTTTTCCAGTCAAMTGAACATAAACAGATTTACAAYAAAGTGATGCTGAAGGCAGAGGTGGTTGGCCTGAGATGGCATGAAACAAACAGAAAAGAACAGCACTGAGGATGAAGTTTCTTGGTTCCTGCTGTGTCCTGAAGAGACAAAGAGTCGAAGCACAGACTAACGCAGATCTACACATCCTTACAGCAAAGGCAACGGGTCTAGTAGTAACTTCACTTGCATCGACTAAAGAAAGAAAAAGAAATCTGCGTTTTTCTCACTTTCCCCAAATTTCCATTCTAACAAACATGAATGCTAATAGTAGACAAGTTTACACGTGTTTCAGTAGTGCAGACAACTTATTTATATCACATACAGTATCCATTCAGTTTTTTTTTGTTTTGTTTTGTTTTGCCAATAATAAATGGAGGGGGTTGATGGGTGCAAGAGGTGGGGTGGGGGGTGGGGGGTGTCCAGATATGCTTTTTTTTTTTTTTACTTTTTTCTGTAAAAGTCTCCCTGAAACCAAATTCAAGCCGTCTTCATCCCGATGTACACACTTTCGTTTCTCCGAGACGAAGGTGAAGAGAAAAGTGCAAAAGTTCCGTGTTTTCACTGGAACGACAAAACAAAACAAAGATGTGTTTAAGAAAAACAAAAAACAAACAAAAAAAACCATACACTTATAACTTGAATTATGTCAACATGTGACAGATGCTACCTTTCACTTCACCGTTTTCGAGGACGGTTGTCTTTACACTTCRGCCTTCTGACTGTTCTCCTCCAGTTTCTTCTCCTCCTCCAAGGACCCGTTCTCCTTCTCGCCCGTCTTCCAGCTTCCCTGCCTTCAACGGAGTTACAAGTTTGATTACGTTTTGTTCCTGTRAAATCCTTCTCTTGACAAAAATTAAAAATTTATGACAATGGGGCAGAGCAACTCCGTATTAGTTCAAACAATTTGTCACGCAAAAAAGGGGATTACCAAACTGAGTTAATTCAACGTGTTCCTCTGTACCTAATGCCTGCATTTTAATTCAGAATTTTTTTAAAAAATTTTTTAAAAGACATTTAAAGGAGGAGCCAAGCATCTTTCATAGCTTTCATTATTAACCCCAGGAGAACATGAGTACCGGGGAACGTAGGTATACTTCCGTACAAGGGAAAAGCTCCATGTTCAAAGCAGTCGAGTTCTACTCCACGCTTCTGGCTGAGAAAATTGTGATTAAAGTGCCTGTGACATCAAATTTTTGTAATAAATATGAATGTACTTTTGGAAAGACACCATCAATAACATATTGTAAAAAAGATTTCATGCAGCTGAGATGAACAGTTGTAAGGATATTTGCATGTGAAATAACAGGAAGTGATGTCAAAGGGGAATGTGAACAGAGCATTGCTAAAATGGCTAACAACACAGACTGTAGAGAAGAATCTGATGTTTCTTTAAATTTTAATCACTATCACAGAGAGATGAGAGTCATAGTTCAAATAATTTTGTTTAAATAAACAAAAAAAAAACAGAGTTTTCTTTCTCAGAGTTCCCCTTTGAGGTCACTTCCTGTTTCACTTGAGCTGAGCCAAATCCAAAAGATCATAGGTCAATTATGTGACATAACGAGTAAAATCATGTGTATTATGCCAAGTTCCTTAAATATAAATGTATTTTCTTAAATTTTTTTATTATGCATGTCACAGGCACTTTAATGTCCCTTGTAGTGGTGGGCACAGTTATGCTAACAGTGAAGCTAATGTTTTGTTTGGTGGATTAGTGTTTTCGCTAACTTTGGAAACCATTAGCAGATCAATTAGCTTCTGCTAACTCTAAGTCTGCTAATGAAAAAAAAAGCATCTTTCCCCTCGCACCTCGTGTTTTCTTACCTGTTCAGGTGTTTATTCTTTGCAAAGCTAATTGTTTAGCTTTAGGAGGTGATACTTTAGTCATCTTTCTAAACGTTACAGGAATAATTCAGATCTTTTCAAGTGAGGTTCTTTAGTAAGGTTGGAGAAACTGTAATACTGATCAAGTTCACAAGCTAACTGCTAACTGAGGCTAAGATCAAAGTGTATTAGGTTCTTTTGAAATGATGAAATTTTAAGAAGCAAAAGTCCAGCTTTGGTCTGGGCCTCTTCTCAGACCAGCTGTTGGCTCATCAGTTCAGTCAAAACTAAAATGCATTTCTCCAAAATGAGRTTGTTCAAAGTGCTACTGTTTCTACAACAGGTAAGATATTAACTGTTAATAACTAACGTTTTAAGAAAAAACTTTGAAATTTATGCAAGAGTTAAACATAAATTTCCCAGGAGTTTTATTTGAATATTTAAAGCTGGTTGCTTTTATTTAATAAGCAAAACATGAAGTTTTTAACAGCTAAGAAACGATGAACCACTCATAACGAGCAACACATWAATAAGAAAATAGTTCAGGTGAATGCAACATTTTTCTTCATCATTAAAAGAAAAAGCACCTTGAGAGCTCAATGAGCAACTTAATGAACTCAAGAACAACATCCTTACTTAGATTTCTTCATGTAGAGCCAATAGGCCAAGCCGATCACCACAGCTGCGATGACGAGTCCGACTACGACCCCGACCACCAGCAGGGTTTTGTCGCCGTTCTTCGCCTCGTCTGTAACAAAATAACAAAAAGACATCAGAGACCCAGAAGGTGTTTCTGTGCTAAAACTAAATCCTGGATTCGTGTAAATAAAAAAAAGAAGGAAAAAAAAAAGAAAAACCCAAACAGAATTAAAGCGCTTTAAATGCGATGATGAATGGACACATCTACACTGTGCACCGCTATGAATTTATCGATCAAACTGTTTGATGACAGTTTCATTTCGTCGGCCAACGGGAGCATGAACAGTGTCGACGTCTCGTCAGGATGCTGGCAGCTCCCTTCCTCTTAATCTTTTATTTAAGAGACACGCTGCCTAAATACGGTGCCTCCGAGGTGACRTTAAAGCTAATTATTTGGCCTCTTTCAGCTGTAAACAAATGAACACCCCCCCTGTTCCCCCAAAGTTTTCTCACAAGCAAAAACGCAGCTACGACTTACCTTGTTTATCCATTCTCACCTCCTCAAATACTGAAATCAGATATAAAATCAAATTAACGTCCAACCAAAAATAAAGGAGGAGGGGGAGGGCGGGAGAAAAAAAAACTACTCTACTTCTACTCTAGTTTTGCATGCACATCGGGAGCAGATTAAATCCAGCATCCCAACACACACACACGCACACACACACACACACACACACACTTGAACCGAGTGAGGTGGAAAAGAGACGTGGAAAGTTCTCCCAAACAGAAATCAACATTGCACACAGACACTGATTATGAATGAGTGCAAAGGCCATGCATCTGACAGAAATGGTGAGAGTGACCTTTATACTCACCAGTATAACCACAAATAATTAACATTTACATTTAAAATAACAATCCAGAATAAATGACTATTTGATTAAACAGTGTTCAAATCAGGCTCAAAACTAGTATTATAGAGGAAAACTGATCATTTAGACCTAATTAAAGAATTCAAACATCACGTTAGGTCAACATGCAAGACAGAAAGAGTTAGTGACTAAAATGGAAAACATTTAGAGAGAAAAGAAAACAAGAGCTAGGAGATTTCATGCCATCAACTTTTTACTTACGGGGCGACACAACTATAAGTTTGGTATCTGTGCCAAACTCGTTGGACACCGTGCAGGAGACGGTGAGGTTGGCGGAGGGCACGACCGCGATCTTGTGTTCTATGTTGCCATTGGGGAAGGACGTTTCATTAAGCTGGAAAAAAAACAAACAAACAAGGTTTTTTTTTTTTGTTAAAAGGAGTTGTTCCTTTCCACTGTCACCAAAGAGCTGCTCAGGACGGTAAAGTGAAGATTTGCCACAATCTGCTGGCTTCCGATGGATAACTCTTACTGGCATTTTGTAACGGAACTGAATGTAAATGTTTTACATTATAACAATAATTTGGTACCACTTTACAATAAGGCTCCCCTTATAGATGGCTTACAAATATTGATTCATCTGTAAACACTTTATAAATCGTTAATAAATGTTTATTATGGATTAATTAAGAACGGGAAAGAGACAAAACTGTCTTGCCAAATAGTGAACCAAATCTCTCCGTATTACTAGGTTTGTAAGCACAATTATGTATTGGAAACACATATTTAAAGAATAATATTGTACTATATTACTGAAATATACGTATTAACAACTGTCAAAGGGAGCCTTATTATAAAATGTACGACAGTAGGTACACTGTTTATTAATGACTAATAAACTTGTATTAATGCCATAAAGGAGCCTTATTGTAAAGTGAAAAACAGTACACTATTTATAAGGCTCTGTTATGACATTATTAGTCATTAATAAATAGTATGTTGTTTTACACTTTACAATAAAGCTCCCTTTGATTACTGTGGAAATGTATAATGCGGTAATACAGTACACTTTATGAAATACAGTATGTGTTTTCAATAAATTATTGTGCTTACAAGGTAGTAAGCTAGTTTGAAATGTTTAATAAAGCACCTTTAGATGTAACATATACATGAACAGATTTGGCTCACTATTTGGCAAGAAACTGGACAATTTTGTCTCTTTTCTGTCCCTAATGAATGAATAATAAACACTAATTAACAACTGATAAAGTGTTTACAGATGAATTAATAACCTATCTATAAACTATTTATAAGCCATCTATAAGGGGAGCCTTATTATAAAGTGGTACCATTGTTTTAATTATCTGTAATTGGATCTGAATTAGATGATATAGACTTGTTTTGTTTTCTATCATACGGTGCCCTGAGATGACTTTTGTTGCCAATTAGTGCGACATAAACTGAAGCGAACATAAAACAAGTAATTACTTTAGCCACTAGGAGGCACTGTTGGACAGACTAGTGGCTGCGTCTGTTCCATGACAAAGGGAAAAGCTGGAGCCTCGGGGATGTAGACTCGTGAATCTCAGAGGAAAACCCCAGACACAAAGACAAACTGCCAACACCCCTTTTCACATCCTCCACACAAAAACAAAAGGAGGAAACAGTTTGGAAAATCGACTAACGAGTCCTACGTCATTATTTATTTTCAGTTTGCACTCAGAAATGCGTGACTTTAATTGATACAATACAGCCTACAAGTGACAGCACGTTTACAGCCGATAAATCGCTCCATGCAGCCTCAGGTGGTGAGTTTTTACTCTTGTGAAAGGAAACTTGCTTGTGGCCAGAGGTCGATACGTAACTAACACTGTTTCTCACCCATCAGCGGGCGCGCAGGTGGACCGCCAGAACAAAGGAGAAAACAATATATATACAGTATTTATAACGTTCAGGTGGAAAACACTGAATGTAAAGCCTGGGGGGAAAATAAAGAGCTGTTCTCTTTTGAAACGCTGGGAATAACCCGCCTAGAAGTGGACCAGATGAGTTCAGGCATGTTGCAGCTCAGGAAAACAATACAGAAGAACTCCCAGGCATGAAACAAGAGGGGGGTTTCACTCCCTCTGCAGTCCAAGGTAGATAAGAAAAATCTCTATCAGACTCTCTGAATAACCTAAAAAGAAAAAAAACCAGCACTGATTCGCCAACAAAGAAAAAAAAAAAACTTAAAGAGCTACAAGGATCAGAAGCACTAAATGCAGCCTTTGTGTTGAATGACACAAAACCTCAAGGTGACCAGGTGAAAGAATGAATGAGATGGGACTTTTATCCTACATCGAGCTCATATCTGATTTGATAGATTTTATAAAAAAGCATACATGTTTTAAAGAGATAACTTTTTCTATATTTTCTGCAGATCCCTGACAGACGGGTTTCAGGTGCCCACACTGAAATTCAACACTGATACCGCAAAGAATGACAGCCCTTTAGTGGCCCAGATGTGGTTTATCAGAGGTAGTCCATGCATGGGCCAGCACCACATTAAACAAAGTAAAGCCAGGCTAGTTGTGTTACTGACAGATTTGGGCCACATAAAACAAACCACAACCGGGCCAGTTGTGATGCTGACAGATTTGAGTCACATAAACCAAACCACAACCGGGCCAGTTGTGGCACTGATAGATTTGGGCCACATAAACCAATCCACAACTGGGCCAGTTGTGGTACTGATAGATTTGGGCCACATAAACCAAACCACAACCGGGCCAGTTTTGGCATTAACAGATTTGGGCCATGTAAACCAAACCACAATTGGACCAAATGTGGCATGCCATCTTAAAACTATTGCCAGACCTGGCCCACATCTGGTTGACAAACCACCTGCCATGCCAGAAGTCAGCCAGCCGTGCCAGCTTGACACCAGATCTGGCCCACACCTGTCTGCTATGTGAGTTATTAATGAAGGAATCTAGATTCGCTGCGGGAAAATTGCTCAACATCTAACTATTACCACAGCTGAACAACACCAAGGATATAACTGGTCTAGTCTGCCTTTAGAGACATGACCACGCAACATGATTAACATAACAAAATGGACCTATCGGCTGTCATTTATATGTTAACTTTTTTTTTTTTACTGAAATGCACTTCAATACCAGATCTTTGCACATCTTTTAATAGATCACCCCAGACGCTGCACACTGAAACATTACAGCGATGATAAAAAATCAACTCATTGTTCTGTTGTCACAAACAGCTGCTCAGTGAGTGTTTCCTGCAGCACTAAATCCCACCTGCTGTCACACCGTAATCACAGGTGTAATCACTCATGTCTTTGGACGGTAGCTTCAAACTGTGCTGTGGCAATGCACATCAAGCGCTCAACCAAAACAAAACCCTCCACTGGCACTGACATTTTACATTAACAGCTACATCAGACTGAATTATGCTTGTGGCATCCTTTCGTTTGTAAACTCCAACAAGTCAAGTGTGTTGGAAATATTACACCGTCTTGTGAAGCCTGTGAGATAACACTGCCTGTCTAGGTCTCATCCTTTAAAGAGAGGACAAAAAATGAATACTATATGACTTCATCTATGATATTGATGTACTTCTTAACCAGGTCATTTCCTTTTATAATGTTCTCCAGCCCGACAGAACATGGATAACCGTTTGAGCACAGACGGAAAAATCTTTACCCACTGTGAATATATGTATGTACACTTCTGTAAAATTGATGGCTACGACCCTGAGAAATTGCAACAATTATGCCGAATTGAATTTCATGTAATCCTGATGGAAAAAAAAAGGGTGAACTTTAAGTGTGTGAGTGTGCATACCAAAGTGCCATTGATGCTCCAGGACACAGCTGGTTTTGGGGAACCTTCAACCTCACAAATTAGTATTTTCTGCTGGCCGTCTTCGTTGATCTCTTTCAGACCTTTGATTTTGGGAGCACCTGAAACAGTACAAAACCTTTCAGACACTTGGACTTAAAGAAAAGACTTCGTCATGGATGCATTTCATTTACAACACCATTCTTAATTTCAAAWMCYWWTTTTTTTTGTTAAACAGTTCCTGCAGTTCAAACTCCTTTTTGTTTGGAGACATTTTTTCTGCAGCATCATGTACCTCAGATCAGTACATCCATCYGCTCTCCCACCTGTTTCTGCCAGCTGTCAGTCAGCTGTATGATGGCTGAGGGAAGCGATCTCTCCTGAACTTTTGCCCTCAAAAAGGCAAAGTCTACTATTTAAAAATGTTCCAAGTTCCAGAAATATGCCACTGTTTTTAAGGTAAGGAAAATATTTCCAATAAGCTACAAGATTTGTCATGTTCACTGGTTTTGTTGTGTACATCAGCTTTCTCCCTACATGTTTACTGGTATATAACCTTTATTTTAACAGGTAAATCAGTTGAAAACCAATTCTCATTTACAGTGACGGCCTGGTCAAGAGGCAGCAGTACAACACAAAATGCCAGAACAATGTTAAAACAAAGACACGACACAGACAGCATAGAGTACAATTAGACATACTTTAACATTATAAACCAGGAGAACCAAAAAAGACAAATTTCCATTTTTAGGACAAATTATATTTTATCTTGATTTTATCTGCTGATGAATTAAACAACAACACAATATTTACAGGTCTACACAACCTCCTGTTCATTGAAATATTCTATGTAGTTAACATAAACTTGTCAGGCTGTGTTGTTACTTTACAAAATGCAGAAAAAAAGAAGCAATTTTTTGCACAATAAGCACATTTCATTTAGCAGTTATCTGGCTTTTTGTTTAGGACTTCCACCTTTATTAACGAATCACAACATTTTTTTTTAAATTCTTGCAGAAAATTCTTTTTTTAAGGTTTTGTTTTTTCATTTAAAATATAAGAACATTTAATATGAGAGATTTCTAATTTGAAATATCTCATTTTTCTTCAGTGTTAAGTGAAACTAACTCATTACTGCACAGAGCTTTTGTACTTGCTATTAGGATATAAGTAAAAAAAACCTTCTTATTCAACTCTGGGCAACAAAGAACTTCTTTTAGGCTCTCACCTGTGACAACCAGCTCAAAAGACGCCGTTCTCTCGAGGTTCTCCATTGTCACCTTGCACTCATAGAAGCCGGAGTCTGAGTAAGCAAGCTTGGTGAACTTGGGCTCACTGCTCTGTTTAAAGTCCTGCATCACATGAACAGAATATCACCATTTTCAACGACAAGCACAAACATTTCTCCATTGATTTGAGCTTTTGCTCTATAGAAGATTGCTTTTACCTTTGTCCAGTGGACCTTTGATGTTGTGGAAGAATTGATCTGAAGAGTTATATCCAAGGTCTCGCCAGCACGCTTGACTATCTTCCCAGATGGGCTTAAATTGATGTCTAAGTCTGAGAAGAGAAGATGTTGAAAAGGTGGTTCAGAGGTTCTGATAAGGGTTGAAACATTTGTTGTTAAATCACACAGCTTTGCGCTTGGCTCGCAGCCCTGCAGATGCAGCTTTTTAGGAGCAATGCAGTTGACACAACACTTTTCTCCTCAAATCAGACGGAAGACAGTTCTGGCAAAGGGAGATATTAGAACTTTCTTCCCACTAACAGACACCTCTTCGCTGTCATTGTAGCAAAGAAGTCTGCAGGCAGGGAGGGAAATTACATTGACTATGCTGCAGGCGTGGGGCCAAATTGCAGTAATTTTTCGAAAAAGGAAAAGAAAAAGGTTCTTACAGTTGACTGTGATGTTTCTGGATGCTTCCATGGAGGGGTTGTCAATTAGAGAGCATTTGTATACACCACTGGTGTTACGTGAGATGTTTGTGAGGGTGTACACGTTTCCTTTTTCCACTTTTACAGCATTTCCCTAATGAAGACATCCAAATAAACAACGGTGGGTTAACTCAGCTTGTTTACAAAAAAGATAAATAGCTTAACGAGCACAAAGAGAAGGAATTTCTGATCATTAGATGAGATTCTTAGGTACCTTAAGGTCAAACATAAAGCTGGTAGGAGCAGGGTTCCCATCTGCAACACACTTCAGAGTCAAGTTGTCTCCTTCCACAAGACGATTCTGAGGAATGACCTGAAGATCAATGTGCTCTGTGGAGTCTGCGAAGAAATAAAAGGACGGAAAGTTTGAGTGGCGACGTGTATAGAGTGAAGCAAATTCCCACACTCCGTCTTTGTATCCTCGGCGATGGCTACAACCAAACTTAAAATGCAGCTGAGGAGACGGCTGATTCGCTGTCATAATCGGAGGCACTCGACCAATCAATCCTTTCAAAGCTCTGGTGTTTCAGCTCCACCGGAGGCAAACCATTACAAGAATTTCTTCCAAGAAACTTTCAGCACTCATTAGTTCTACTTTCAACCACACTGAGCATTTAACATCATCAACTGACGCTGCTTGGGCATTTATTTTGTGGTAATGTCACTTCTTGTGACGTTCATTTTCAATATTTTATTTATGTTCAGTTTGTTCTCAGTGTTTCCAGCCAGTTCCTCAGCAAGGCTCAACTCATCAGTCCTGCCCAGCTCACTGTTTAAAGCAGGGGTGGGCAATCCTGGTCCTCGATGGGCCACTATCCTGCATGTTTTACTCGTTTCTCTGCTCCAACACACCTGATTTGAATGAATGGGTAACAGGCTTCTGCAGAACTTGAAGCGGTAATTCAATCACTGAATCAGGTCTGTTGGAGTACCGAAACAAGTAAAATATGYAGGATAACAACCCTTGAGGACAAAAAATGTCYACCACTGGTTTAAGGTAACAATATCCAAAGACTTGTCTTCAGTTCAGACATGTTTTAGGAAGATAATTGACTGAGAAATCTGCCTGATTGTTTAATCCAAATGTAAATTTGCCATTTTCCAGTGGGGAACGAGATTTTGGAAACGATAACAAGCAGGAGGAGAATATAAGATGCCAGATGCTTTTTACCAGAAATCGACATCTGGTGAGCCAGACTACCCTTGAGGGTGAATATCTCTTTGAGGGGGGTCCACTGTGCCTCATTACCATTACCTAATTACTATTATCTAATTACCAACACTTGGGTTATTTGATGCATATTTTTTATTATTATTTAATGTATTTAAAACCAGTTGGATCCATGGCCTTGTTGGTGTGGATTCAGGACAATTCTGAGTTTAACTGAAGCCAACTGGACTTTATTTTGCTTGAAGACGTTTCACATAAAATGAAACGGACCAAACGTTTTGAACAGATTTTTAAAACAAGCAACAAGAACTTCTTTGCTTTTCCACTGAGACACAGGAGAACAGGCCATATTTCATTATCTACGGCCATATGTAGTGACGGAGGGAGTACATTGTGACTAATGACTCAAAATTGGAAACTAGAACACGTTGAACCGAGTCAGGTCGAATTAAGGTAAAGCCATTAGTTCTGAAACTAGACAATGTGAAAAGAGCAAAATTGAGTTGAGGGACTTACAGGTGATGGTGAAAGTCACTGGAGAGGACACAAGTTTGTTCCCCAGAGGGTGGTCGGCCCTACAGGTGAACTGAGCTTCATTGTCGGCCTTCTCTGCAGAATACTCCAGCGTGGACGTTGTGGTGGACAGACCGGTGACGGAGTCTCCATCCACAGAGTTTTTGATGATAATCCCTGAACCACAAAACAAAAAAGCACAGTCTGAAAACTCTTGACAAGGAAAGAAAACTTTATTTTTCTGTTTCTTTGCRTTGACCAAATGCCCAACTCAGAGCAGCAAAATTCTTTACACCTAATCCAAAGGTATGTGAGCATCTGCGTATTTCATTTTTCAATTAATATCAAAGTCTGCGATCCTTCAAAGACATGCAGCATAAAGGCCCACCTTTCCCATCAGCCACTAGAGGTTTATTGTTCCTCAGCCACGTGATGTTTGCAGCTGGATTAGCATCCCGTGCAACACATTTTCCCAGCTGTGAAACAAAACAAAACAAAACAAAAAAAAGAGAAATATAGTCACAACACTGCAGGGAAAAATTTGCATTTCATTAATTTTTTTTCAAATGACCTAACATATGAGCAAATTAGGTTTTTTAGTGCCTCCGCAGCATCTGAGGAGTAAAGACTTTTCCACGCAGCAGACCATGAAATGCCTGAAGCATTTCTAAATCCCGTCCAATCCTCTGAGTGTTCTAATTGCTGTGTGTGTGTGTGTGTGTGTGGGGGGGGGGGGGGGGGGGGGTTCTGCTCTTTACTAATTTATGAGAATCACTTCAAAGAACTCATTACTGTACTAACATTCATGGACTGTGTTATAGGTCTCAAGATACCTTAGCACAAGTAAGGGATTTCCCTCGGTGAGCTGCTGCCTAAAATAATGTATGTAGAAGCAATATTTATCATAAAAAAGTCCACCTTTGTGAGTTTGCCAAACTCCAGCTCCTTTGCTTCATCAGATATCTCCACGCCTGCAGGCGACTCTGCAAAGAAAAAAAAAACGTGGTAATGAGAGGTGGTGGTAGAGGCGAGGCTGGTGCTCCTGTCAGTCACCGTGGCACTTTAAACTTTTTTCTTTTTGAGTTTTATGCTTTTCTTCCAAGTGTCAAAAGCTTTTTGTGCTTGTAGATGTCTACAAAGTACCACAACAAATGGAAGTATTGTGTCCCACAGAAGGCCCTGCTCCTTTCTGGAAATAACGAATACGTAAATGTGCTAAATGGGGCTCGATCAATTAAACATGAGTCTAGTAAACCATTAAAAATTGCTCCATTGAATCAGGATGTCCAGAATATTCATTCCTCAGCAACAAGAAAACTGAACTCTCAGTAAGATGGAACATGATTTTGTTCATTTAAACTTATTCTGGCTGAGTGAAACAGTTTTTATTACAAAGTACCTTTAAATACTGATGCAAACCAATTCATACAGGCATTTGGCATTGTTCCCTTGTACCTACCTATGTACCTCAGTACCTATGTTCCCGTTATCTATGTTCCCTGGTATTTATGTTTCCTTGCACCTATGTATTGCTATATCATTTTCATCGTTATTATATATGTTCCATTTAACCAATGTTCCCTGTTATCTGTTCCCCTGTACCCATGTTTCCTTGTACCTATGTTCCGCTGTACAAATATTCCCCTGTACCTATGTTTCCTTGTACCGATGTTCCCCTTTACCAATGTTCTCTTGTACCTATGTTCCCTTATATCTGTGTTCATTTTTACCTATGTTCCCATGTACCTATGTTTCCTTGTACATATGTTCCCCTTTACCTATGTTCCTTTGTACCTATGTTCCCCTGTACTTATGTTCCCTTGTACCTATGTTCCCTTGTACCTAGGTTTCCTTGTACCTATGTTCCCCTGTACTTATGTTCCCTTGTACCTATGTTCCCCTGTACTTATGTTCCCTTGTACCTATGTTCCCTTGTACCTATGTTCCCCTGTACTTATGTTCCCTTGTACCTATGTTTCCTTGTACCTATGTTGCCTTGTACCTGTGTTCCCTTGTACCTATGTTCCCCTGTACCTATGTTCCCTTGTACCTATGTTCCCCTGTACCTATGTTCCCTTGTACCTATGTTCCCCTGTACCTATGTTCCCTTGTACCTATGTTCCCTTGTACCTATGTTTCCTTGTACCTATGTTCCCCTGTACCTGTTTCCCTTTACCTATGTTTCCTTGTACCCATGTTCCCCTGTACCTATGTTCCCTTGTACCTATGCTCCCATGGACCAATGTTCCCTTGTACCTATAGTATCTATGTTCCCCTGTACCTATGCTCCCCAGGACCTATGTTCCATAGTACTTATGTTCCCCTTTACCTATGTTCACCTTTACCTATGTTCCCTTCCCTGTACCTATGTTCCATTGTACCTCTGTTCCCCAGTATCTATGTTTTCCCTGAGTTACTAATGAGAGTCAAGAAAGATGCTTGGTTCCCCACTTCAATTGTCTGTTAATACAAATAAAAAATATACTCAGAGTGCCCAGGGTATTAAGGAACATAGGATTTTGGGGAACATAGGTACTGGGAAATTTAGGGATGACCATGACCTGTCACCTTATACTCACTGTAAATGTGCACAGTAACTGGGAATTCATGGATATCTGCACCAGCCACCACCATACAGGTGAAGGTTCGCTCATCAGTCAGCTTGGCTTCAGAAAGCAGCAGGGTAAAGTTGGCATCCATGTTCACACGGCCCCGGTAATCATTCGTGGCAGAGATCGAGACATTCTGGTCTTTCTGCTTGACTAGCAGGTCTCCAAACTGAGCATCACCTTTGTTCTGGAAAGAGGAGCAGAGAGGACCAGTTACTCATCTGTTTTAAATGAAGGTGCACACCTACAGTATGCACATGCACTCACACTGGGCGTGGTTCAGAAATGATGAGTGGCTGTCACATGGACGCTGCCATTGTGAATTCATCGACCTTCACTGTRACTTACATATTTCCATTTCATCATCATGATGTCTGCTGCTTTAATGGCTCCGTAGTTGCAAGGAATCGACACTGTTTTCCCATACAGCCCTGTAACGGTCCCCAGAGCCGTGACTGTAAAAAGACAAAAGCACAGAGATGTTTTATGTTTTTTGGGGGAAAAAAACAATCAAGTCCATTTCTTGTTCAGAGAAAGACTCTGATTTTGTAGTTATGTTTTTTTTCTTCTGCAGGGTCCTGATGCTCTGACAGGTCCTGCTCTTTTACATGACAAAACCAAACATATGGATGATGGGGAGACAAAAGGTGTTAAAGTCAGCAATAAAATATATTGGATAAGAAAAAATGAGAGGAAAAAGTCAGCAGAGCAAGAGAGGTCAGGAATAAATGAAGCCATACAGAACAAATGCCAGCAATTCATAAGAAAAAGGCTTGAGATTTACAAATTCATCTTTCACTTTGGTGATTAAATAAAATTGCTTTGAATCAAGAAATTTCTTCTTTTTTTTTGGTGATTGCTCAGCTGCTTGATGTTCTCCACCAAAGTCATCCACATCTGGTGCCCAGAAATCCTTTTCTTGATCTGTGAATGCAKCATATCTACACAACTACACCAGCAACAGTGAAGAGGACTCAAAATTAGCCAACCCCTGTAAGGTGTGCAAAACCAAGGATTGTATTTAAAYTGCCAACATACACATAAATAAATTTATTTTAACAATTTTCTTYCAAATGTTATAGGAGTCTGGAGAAATTGTTTGCAAGTGTTTTACACTATAGGACTTCAATGATGGGAGTCACGACTACTAGAGGGTCAGTGGAAGAACTGCAGGGGTGTTGTGAGATTCTCTTTATATTTTAAAATTAAATATTCAGATTTTTAGTGAGCTTTTTATTTTTTTTGTACAGATTTTGTCATTTGTACTTTTATAACAAGATCCCTTGTAGGTATAAGGACCGAGTTTGACTTGGACCACGTTTTGAATTTTGGCCCCCTGTGTAACTGTTTGACACTCCTGCTCTAGACGTACACAAAACAAAGTAGAACCTACAGAGTTCTAAAACATTTTACAGTTCCACCATCGCCCCCCCTTTTTTTTTCGAACAGCCATGGATACAAAGTGGTTGAGTAGGGGGATGGGAGGAGGTAACGGTCTCAACAGGCTGCGATGAGGAGTTAGAGCCAGAGGGCTGCAGGGAAGAGGAGGCTGCCACGTCCCGACTGAAAATGAGGCGTTTCTCACTTTTCCTGACGTTCACATTTACATTTCAGAACTCTCGGAGTTCAAGCTTTAGGTAAATGTGAGAGTGGGCGTGTGGAAGAATAAATCTGACAGCTAAAATCCACACAAAAAAACCCCAGCAGCTCTACAACAGTGCGACACACCAGAGCAAAGCTGTGATCGTCCATTCTCTTTCTGCTGAACTGGTGACGAGTCATGTTTGTGTATTTTGCAAAAGTTGGATGATGATGCTTGGATTTTTGTTTGTGTACCTTTAGTTCTGAATTTTTGCATGCTTGTGCAGAAAAAAACAAAAAAATAGGAGCATACTTCAACAGTTTCTCTTCCACTCCTAACTCATCAGATCTTTAAAGGTTCCTTTTAAACGCTGCGTAGTTGGGAGTGAATTCATTTGCTGCGTACGTGAGCCTCATTTGAATCTGGTTTGAATGAAAGTAAATACTTTTACTATGGTTACCATTGTCCACATGAGGACAGAGTAACAACAGGGACCCTGAGGGAGTGTTTGCTCAATTAAATGTGATGTCAGGTTGAGTTGGCAGCTTTTAGAATCTATGCTTGTTTCTGTTTGCACACATTCCAACCCATGATGTGCATCAGCTTCAAATCTGAATTTTAAACGAGTTCATAAAATAGCTAAGACGTTACTGTGATGTTTTACTTAACTAAAAAAAAAGACCCAAATAAATCAAAAGGCTCGTCTAAAAGTTTAGCAGATTCTGCTGTTATTGCCATCCTTTTGACACTTAGACTCGTCACTCATCGTCGCGAGCTGTCAAACAACTCGAGTCTGGTTCTGAACTAAAACGGCAAAAATGTCACTTTAAAGCTCCGACATCAAGACGGATGACAACAAAACAGACCCGATTTATTTTTAACGKGGGGTGTTTGCCTTGTAACGGATGCTTTTTAAGGCAGATTCTGACTGGTATGACTTCATTGCCCCATGGCCACTTGTTTCACTTCAAAACACTCGTTAGACATTTAGAAAATTAATTTGCTTTCCGTTGCGGGGAGATGATATGACAAGATTAATATGTCTCAGAGACAAGGAGGAAAAAGCTACCACTGTTTTTAGGCGCTCTAAATCTCCCTGATAAACCCATTACTCTTTGTTCAGGATACAAAAGCCACAAGCTGTGATTACATTTAGGAGGCAGAGGCTACTTCTTTCTCCTCAGACTCAATACTTTTCCCATTGCTTTTGTTTTAAAATTCAATTCACGTTTTATGTTTTACTTGATATGTAATTCAGTTTAGATGTAGAAAAGAATAAAATACATCTACTTTGTTTGGGTTGACAAATAGTAAAGCTCGCCTTGAAATGGAGAATKTCTAAATGTACCAAGGTAGTTTCATGTCTGTTTCTCAACCAAGATTAGTCAATAAAAGACACAAAAGATTTGTGGAGGCCGTTTCTTATTCACAAAAGAGCTTTCCGGTCCACTGCCAATAAAAATTATCTAAAACATAAAAAATACATCTACATGAAGCCACATAGACCTTGAATTATACCTTGTTTATTTAACATTTTATAATCTATAACCGTCTTATTTATATCAGGTAACTGTAACGCTAAGATTGCTTTCACAATATGTTCATATCACCTTTTTTTTTGCTGGCTGACTGCTGGCATGGCAAGTGGTTTGTCAACCTGATGTCGGCCAGGTCTGGCAATGATGGCACTGTTTTTACGACGGCATGCCACAACTGGCCCAGCTGTGGTTTGGTTTATGTGGCCCAAATCTGTCAGTGCCGTAAGTGACCCGGTTGKGGTTTGGTTTATGTGCTGGTGGTTTGTGAATGGATCTGGGCTACCAAACAACCATCATTATTTGCAGTAACTAGGCCAATTGTTGTGGGCCAGAACTGGACCAGACACATTTTGTTATGTGGGTAAGCTTTATGAAACTTGTGTGCATTACAAAAAAAATTAATGTCTATCACATTGTTGTAAGAATGGCTACAAAAATGAACAATTATTGATTGGGCAGTAAAACAAGAATTTATTTCAAATAAACTGATTTTTACAGCCAGTCAGTGCAACAAACCAACTGTATTCCAAATACCTTTTCGGTGTTTTAACTAGGGCTGCACTGATTAGTTGAAATAATCGATGACGTCGATTATGCAAATTTGTCATCGCAGATTTTTTATTATCGATTCGCWGTATTACATAACCATCACGTGAATGTTCATGCAATTCCATTTCGGTACCTAAATGTATCATTGCGACCGTATTGGCATAAGAGTGGTGAGTTTTCCATGCTTGTCCTGAACGCAGCATCGCACAAGAGCGTAATGACGTCAGCAGCCGCTGCTTCAGTTCAGTCTGAAGCTTGAAAACAAGCCTCGCAGCTCCTGGAGTAAAATTTACCGAACAGACGGTGTTGGACGTGTTCTGGATGTTCAAAACGTAGCTTAAATACCTTTGATTTATTTTAACTGCATCCTCTTTTATTTGATTTAAACATATTTGCCTTCCATGGACCTCCATCACACATTTTTCTCGTGAGGAAATGACATCAACAGAAACA